CAATTCCTGGAATCTGAAAACATCCCAGTTCTTGCATGGCCAGCATACTCACCGGACATGACACCCATTGAGCATGTTTGGGATGCTCTGGATCGGCGTATACGACAGCGTGTTCCAGTTCCTGCCAATATCCAGCAACTTGGCACAGCCATTGAAGAGGACCAACAGGCCACAATCAACAACCTGATCAACTCTATGCCAAGGAGATGTGTTGCACTGCGTGAGGCAAATGGTGGTCACACCAGATACTGACTGGTTTTCGGACCCCCCCAGACCCCCCCCAATAAAGCAAAACTGCAGGTTTCAGAGTGGCCTTTTATTGTGGCCAGCCTAAGGCACACCTATGCAATAATCATGCTGTCTAATCAGCATCTTGATATGCCACACCTGTGAGGTGGGATGGATTATCTCTGCAAAGGAGAAGTGCTCACTATCACAGATTTTTTCAGATTTGTAGTAGTAATCAAAATGATACTGTAATCCAATTTTGTGTCAATGAAATGAACACTGCATAATGAAGACATCCCCCATAAATCTTTTTCTCCTCTGGTTTCCTGTCAACAGGTGCACATTCTGGGAGTGGGGCTGGCTGTTCACGAGAAGCTGGTGCATCCAGAGATGCGTCCTCTGCACAAAAAGCTGGTAGATCAGTTCCACATGATGAGGACAGGTTTACACCATGTGAGTAGTCCCACATCTGGCTCAGTTTTTACACAAGTTTTGGTTTGAGCTGTGTTTTTAATTGTTGTTCTTGCTAACAAATATGTAAATAGCCATTTTGAATTGTCTGTTTCGATGCATCTGCATTTGTATGAGATGAGTGTTATGAATATGCCTGTATTGTTATACAAGTGTTTTAATGCTTGTTTTAGCAGTATAAATATTCAGAGTAGTATATGGTTGGGTCCCAGCAGGGTGTGCCTGGCGTGGATCGGTTTGGCGCTGCAGGCTGCCCGGGGGTTAACTCTCCCAGAGGCATCCTCTCCTCCCACAGCCACATGAGCCCTGAGAGCGTCCGCCTCATACACAGACACAGGTCAGTCACACACACATGGACACATTTATAAAAACATGAAGATTACGGTTTTACAACATTGTCTCTGTCCTGCAGCCCTCTGAGCCTCCAGGGATCGATCCGCCACTCGTCCTCCTCTCTGTCCTCTCACACATCGAGTGAGGCAGGAGGAAACCTTGTCCTAATGAACGATGGCATGATGGGAGAGCACTCTGAGGATGCGTTACACATGCAGGTGAGGCTTGATATAATACACACCGTCATAAAAGCAGTTGAAATGGTATGAGTTTGTGTTAACATGTTTCCAATACGAAAAATATTTTACTTCTTGAACTTCTTTTCAATTCTTTCTTTGCAGCCAAGCCCCTCCTCCTCCAGCCTGAGCTCAATCCGCTCCAATTCTTCCCAGATTATTAACTCTGCTCCCTCGAGTGCCAGAGGTAAGTAAGAAAGTCACATTATAGATGATCCTTACTGTGTAATCTGTATATATTTAATTTCCCTATGGAGGTTTTCTTGCAGATGCTTGAGAATAAGAAATACAATATATGAAGAAGGTTACACAACACAAACTAACTGTATTTTTAGAATGACTCCTCTGTTACATATAAAGAGGTTGCTGTGCAAACATGTCCTCATCTTTTCTCTGTCTAGGATCCCCATCCTTGCCCGATAAGGCCAAACACAACCGGGAGGTGATGATCCTGTTGCCGTCTCATCGTGAGAGGACCAGCAACATGTACTACAACATGGCAGAGAATGGACAGGTATGTACAGTGCAGTGTATCAATGTGCAAAACATACCAGACGTTAAATGTGTTTGTAATTATTCAAATCAATGTGTTAAATGAGTTTTAAGATCAAAACTTGTTCTACTTATACCAAATTGTAATCAGGGTTCAGATAGTTCCTTTAATAATGCAGTTAGTGACCTGGTTTAAGTGTCACAATATTTAAGAAATGTAACTTAATCACTTTCTGTTACTTTTGGATGATCTCAATACCAAATATGCAGGACAAGAGAAACAATTTCTAAAATGTCAACATTATGTTGTGTGTAAAACTTCCAGGGGCTCTTTTGGCACATTATAGTAGCCAGACCAGTATAAGTTTTTTTTAAAAACCCATTTATAAATCATATTCTGTTCATTATGCCCATTTTAACTAAACTGATATTGATAATGCGATTAAGTCTTTTTTCCCTGTTTAACTGTAACAGACTTTTTTTGTATCCTAATTACATCACACATTTCCATGTTTTCAGTGACTCATCCCTGCTTATAATTCTTCATTCTATGTTTCAGAACAACCACATGCAGCGGGCTTTACTTCAGCAAATTAGCCCCTGCAAGCCGTGTGCTGATCCTCACATGAATCTGCCAGAGAAAGGTGACAACACAATCAGGTGGAAATGTACTGTATCGCCTATATGAGACTTACATCACAGTGTTTGATGACATGTTCATGTTTTCCTCTCCAGTCTTTCCCAACACTCCCGGCAGCTGGAGTCTGGACGGGGAGAACAGGGAGCCGGTGTCCTACATGCCGACTTCTACTGGAGGGGTCATCATGCCACCCGTGCCCCCCAGGTCCTTCCCCCCAGGTACATCTCCTTTAAATTCCCTGTTATGGGTTTTTGTGGGGTTAAGAGCTTTTGAGAGGTTCAAGGCTATTTAAGACCATTACATAAGACCTTTTAAGCATTGTATAAATTATTTATCTCCTCATATGAATTTCACTTTGCAGGACACTTCCTGATGCACTGTGATGCGTTTCACCACCAGAACAGCGACCCCCCCCCTGCCCTGCCCATCCGTTCACTTCGGAAGGTACAGCCCACAGAGAAATATTCATAACATATGAGACGCAAAACAGCTTTGTAGCAACTTTTTGGCATTTCACTCTCCTCATCCTCCCTCTTCTTTCGAATGTCAATTTTAAATGATCATATTGACATTTTCAGTGTTTTGTCATGGTTACCCTGACTTCACAGAAGCTCCTATTTTCCAAGTTCTCAACACAACCACACACTGTCTTCACTTTCAGTCAATTTGTACACTATAGAAATGCCTGATGATAGAGTGCTGACACACATTTTTTGTAACTCTGGTTGTCAAGTTATAATTACAAATGCATTGCTACATGTCTGAAATACGGACAGTTTCAGAATCAAGTAGTTGTTGACTCTTGATCTTCTTCATTCGCAACTTAACTTAATAACTTTGCTATGTTATCCCAACATTTCAGACAGTATGTGAAGGCAGCTTGAGTAGAAATTAAATTCAGGTTGTTGTTTCAAAACTTTTCCCTTGACTGTAAGTTAAAAAAAAAAGACACACAATTATTTGACTGTTTCTCTCGCCAGTCTCCTCTCCACCCGATCCCCGGCTCCCCCACCAGTCCTCAGTCAGCTCTGGGGGGTAGTAACTCCACTCTGTCAGGCAGCGCCAGCAGCGGGGTTTCCTCTCTGAGTGAGAGTAACTTTGGAGGCCAATATCCGGACCCCGGCCCTATCAGGAACGACGCCTTGGAGCCTCTTCCCAGTCACCTGTGGTCCCCCCCTGATGAGTACCTGGCCTCTCCCTACCTGCACATTCACTACGGCGGACCAGAGATTGAGTCCGTGGACCCTGTCCGCCCTTTCCACTACCGCAGCCCTTCATCACACCCGCACAACCACCAGCACCCTCACACTCACGCCCACCCGGGACTGGACAGCCACTCCCACGGGCCCCCGCCCCACCACCACGCTCCCACTCACGGCCCCCACCACATCCCTTACCGCAGGCCTCAGCCTCCAGCCGTGCCGCCCAAACCCTACCTGAGAGAGGGCTGCATCCCAGAGGAGGACCTGCCGCCTCAGCCCATCCCGCTGCCCCGAAGGATCTTCCACTCCCCGCACGGCCACCGTGAAGACCAGGGGAAACACCCCTGGGAGCAGTGCATCAGCGAGGAGCACGAGGAGGCCCAGTGATGACGAGGGTCCGCTATACTTCAGTTAGAGCTTTCTTCTTCCCTTCATTTGCACTGAGTTAAAGGCAGTTACAGGGAGATTCCTAAGTGAAGCGGTGATTTGTGTTCAGATGACATTTCTCGCTTTAATTTCAGTGCACATGAAGGAAAGAAAAGAGGGGATGAACCTCCACAAATCTACAGCACGAGGCTCTGTCACTGCTCCGTGTGGCCTCTTAGATATAATTAAAAGAAATGTATCTGTTAAACAAAAGACAGATTGACTTTGTTCAGAAATTGATATTGATTGTACAAAATTGTACAACTTGTCTGTGAGCATGTTTTTTCATTTGAGAATAATAAGACAACAGTTTTGTGAAAAATGACGACCATGATCATAACCAACATGATCCCAGGTGCAGTTTGAGCTCTGAACTCCCTTAATTTAGCTTTTTCATGGCATTTTCACAACACGAGGAAACACCCGAAGGTTATAATTCAAAGGGAAGGGACTTCTCTGCTTTAAATGCTTCATATATATGAATTCTTATTTTGATAATAAATACATATTACATTATAGTGTTTTCAAAGGCTTATGTCCATAATGTTTTTCGAAACACTGTTAAGTGCTCCTTAATAGTGTATCATATCAAATGTCGCACTCTGACACAGGTTGCTGTCAGGCTTTCATGAATCGCTAGTCTCTAAGACTGGCCCGGCATCTCAAGGGACACGAACTTCAGTCACTGACAATTTCCCATCCGTACCTTGGCGTACGGAAACCTCCGTGAATGTATTCAGACGAGATGTTCTTTTTGTATTGCACAAGCTGCAATGCTATTTTTGTTTAAGTGCTTTAAGTTCAGTCTATGTTGAAGAAGTCTCTATTTGTCTCTTTTGTGTGACAAAGATATCTGGAGAGGAAGGAGAGGGGAAACTGAGGACATTGACAGACAGGTTCCAAACTAGTCATGTTCCCCAGATGGAGAACTCTCCACATCTCAAGCTCCTGCTGGACTCTGTAAAGCATTCTCTCCCTCCATCGTTACCCTTCTCTGTGTGGTTGTCAGACCATGTTACAAAGCAGTGAGGGCTGAACCTGGACAGCAGCAGTGGTCCTGCGTTGCGTCTGATGAACACTGTCTAGACCCCCGCCCACTGGGCTGCCAGACAAGGAGCCCACTCAGACAGCGTTGGAATCGCCTACCTGCCTTAAGTGCACTCAAATGCAGTTTGACCTCTCATCTGGACTGTGAGAAGCTCATTTAGCGACAGTCCTTCTCCTTTTCATTCGGTTCTCTATATGCTCCCTGAAGGAAAAAAAAAGATATCTACCTAGTGATGTTTTGTATGGTTTCGTCCCGCTTTGGTTTCAGGTTGTTGTTTGGTTTGTAGCGCTAATAATTCTTATTCTGCCTGCAGCTCTTTCTCAATCACCTTCTGTTGTGTGAAAACTAATGATGTGTTTCAGAAGAACGCTGAAGCCCTGACAGAGAAGAGGGATTTACTTTTTGTGGAGCAGAGAACAGCGCTGTTTATCACGATATAGTGGGTTGGAAGGATATAGCTAATATTTTAACAATTACTTGTTTTCCTGGTTGTTGCTTTTTTTGCAGGTGGATGCTTTGTGTTACTGTACATCAAGTTGTCAGCTGACTAGACAACATCTATTTTTGTATGTGAGATCATCAGTTGTGTGAACATATTTCAGAAACCGTACCACAACAGAAGGCCCAGGTACTGCATCAGCTGCTGTACTTTGTATGGAGATGAACCTGAGGTTAGATATATATATGTGAGTATCTCTTGTGAGCCTGATGGCACTGAGGATAACTGGTGACTGAAGTGATACTCAAAATATAGGTACAATAGAATTTTTCAATGTAAATTCTGTTATTGTACATACAGCAGTATTGTGAAATATTTTTGAGAATTATTGCAGACGCCCAAAAAAGGTTTATCGTTGTTTGTGTATATAAATGTAATCCAGAGATCAGTGTAATTGATAAATATCTATAATCAGTGTTTGAAAAAGGACAAATCCATTAGACTGTGGCTGTCTCCACCGTTCTTGACTTTGAGTCTTCTCATATAAATACTTTATACACTTTTCAATGTGCTTTCCTGTACATATGGTGTTAGCATGATCAAACAGTGTTTGGTTGTAAAAGTGGTTTTCCTACTCCCATAAACTGCTGTGGTATGGAATTCATTAACGATGCCAAACATTAAAGACAATCTTTTATCAGCTCTAACTTTTCCTCCTTACCTTTGCTGTGCTGTGATTGTTGGAGCAGTATGTCAAGTGGACAGTAGGGGGCACTGTGTGTCATGGAAACGTGAAGCAGACAGCAAAGTATGGATGCTGCTTGCGCTGTTTTGTGTTTCCATGTGTGTTTGTTTCAGTCGGTGGTATGATAAGTATTAGCATACTTTATTTAAAGCACTTTACTGGATATAATAATAATAATAATAATAATAATAATAATAATAACTATAATAACTATAATAATGAATCGAATATAGACTGTGAAACGGGTCATTGAATGAATCTATATAATAATGACCTGATTCTGCAGCTTTCTTCTGCTTTTAAGAGATGTATAGTTAATTTCAGATCATTGTTCAGCTGTCCAGCAAAAAACTTTACTTTGGTTAACTCTCACTGCTCTCATTGGGTCGTTTCCTGGTGCAGCAGGAAGCTGATTCAGGCAAAAGCTCTAAACATATTTCTCTCTCAGGAGACCAAAAAGATAAAGAGGGTGAATAACTGGACTAACATTCACCAGGTTGCTATTAAAACAAAAATGTATACAAATAAATATGTGTTTTAACGCATTAATAGTATTATTATGAATGCATTAACATGTAAGCAGCTCTTCCTGGCTAGCTAAAAATAAAAAGTAACTAGAGCAGTGAAATAATTGTTTACTAAAAAGTAACAAGATTAAATCTAAATTAATATATACAATATAGCCGTAGGAAATTGAGTTTAAAGAGGCCAAAAATGAAACATCTTAATTCTAGTTAAGTAAACTACTTACTTTGATTTTTGCTGCATTTCACCACTGTTGTGCTTAAAGTGTGTGTGGTGTGTGTTGTGTGTGTTGTGTGTGTTGTGTGTTGTGTGTGTTGTGTGTGTTTGTGTATTGAGGTGTGTGTTGTATGTGTTGTGTGTGTTGTGTGTTGTGTGTGTTGTGTGTTGAGGTGTGTGTTTTGTGTGTTTGTGAGAGAGAGAGATCGCACAACCCTTGGGTCCACCACAGAAGAAGAACAATGCTTAAAAAAAGAGAGAACTTGTCAGTGCAGTGACAGCTCAGGTCCCTGCCCCCCCCAAGCACAAGCCTCAGACTGTCACTAACGTCGTACTTTGATATTTAAATGCAACATTTCCTTTAATGTGGTATATTATAATGCAGCGTTAGTTTAGGGGGATGTTTGATAGAAATAAATAAATGTGGTCTATATAACAAATGTGAGGTTATATTAGCAGATCTTCCAGCAAATATCCTGATCATGGATCTGCTTCGCTGTCTGTTGACACCATTTTAGTAATGACTCTTAGAAATGATGTGTGGCCTGCAGGTGGCACAAGTGACCCATTAATAACTCCTGTAGGATGATAAGAAATAATCCGTATCTAATCTGTTTGGAAATAAAGCCCTTGAAAATGTCATCAAAGTAGAATAACTGAAGGTGAATAATTACATGTTTAGCTTATTTAGCAGCATTAGGGCTGTTTATTATATATTATTTGCCGTTCAAATGTTGATGTGTCAGAGTGAGAAGACAGATAAAAAGGATAGATAAATACAAAAGGCCTTTCACGACGAAAGATGAACGAAGAATTTCAAGACTTCTCAGTGTTTTAGCCTTGCAGCTCATTGGACTCCAGTTGAATATCACTGAAGTTGTATGCGTGCAGCTGTGGCTTTTTCCCCTCTGAAAAGTCTTTGGTAACAATGAGGAGTGTGCCCTCTCCGTGTCTTGCATATCCATGATGCAGTCACAGAAAAAAAGAGAAGTTAGGATGAAAGGATCCTCTCTGTGATGATGCTGTGGCGCATGCTGATGCAGATACTGGATTTCATTTTTACGGCATTACTGTGGCTTCTCTCCCTCTCTTTGAATGCTCCTTGTCTTTTTTAATCGCAAACTCCCACCCTATTTTGTCTTCAGGGACATTGAGTGAGTTGTGTATAGTAGTATGCTCTCCACACTGGATCTGTTTTTGCCCACCTCCATGCATGTTGATATACTATGTGTGGAATGCAGGCAGAGCTCTTCCCCCTTCTGGGGTTGCATCGTGTCATTGTGCTGTTATTGTTTGGGGCACAAGGGCACAGTAATGTGAAAAGCATCTCTCATAAATTCTAGCAAGTGGAATGACAAGCTGCCATCCAGCTTCTGCTTGGAAGAAAATAAAAAATAACTAGGATCTGGCACCACATCTCTTTGTGTCCACAGTGTTATTGTGCTGCAACATTATTTTGACACAAGTTCAAGGGCTTTGTCTACTCTCTGAATGTCTGTGAAGCGAATGAACAGATGGGCAGCCTTTTGTGCACCAGTCTGCATCAATTAAGACAAAGACAAATACATCAGAAAAAAAGACTTTTAATAAATGAAACAATACTAATAAATAAAGATTAAACAAGTTGCACATTCAAAATAAAATCCAACAAAATGAAAATAACACTGAACAGTAAAGTACAGTACCATAGCACAGATTAATAAAAAACAAAAACAAATTCCCAACCCCCCCAGACATTTACAAATGTTCATAAAAACTTCAAGAAGCAAACATAGACATTGTAGAAAAGCATCATACAGTAGAGCATTTTTCATCTGAGTATAATTTACAAATGTATTGAAGGATAAATACTTAAAAGCTGATATTTAACATGAGATACACATGTTAAAACTGGGATTTAAACATGTGTTTCTCAGGTGAGGTTCCAGCCCTTTCTTTTGTGTGATCAATAACAGTGATGAGGTGACGATGAAAGCAGTCCATCAATTCATGGGAAACTCACAAATTATCTATAACCGTAAATAACTTTTAAAAGCTTTATCCACATCTCCATTGGTCTCTTCTCTGTTGGTGCATCAAAGAACAAAAGTCAAGAGCATCTCTGCTAGCGGATATGGCTACATCAGGCGTTTTGTGGAAGAACACTGCAGCTGTCCTTCATCTGACTCTTCAGACACAGAACCCAGAGGCTGCATCAGTAAGGAGCAAACTTCTGTCTCTCTGGCTTTTTGATGCAGTTGGCTGAGGAGATTTTGGCGGTGTAGGCGGCCAGAGTAGAGTGGGAGGGTGCTGCGGTGACGGCTACAGTGGGGCCGGGGCTGGATAGAGTCAGAAAGGGCACAGACTTCATCCCCAACAGGCCGGAGAGCGGCATGGCACCGTATGGGTTACCCAGCATATGAGCCTGAGTCAGGGCGCCCATGGTGGCCAGGGTGGGTGCGGGGGAGGCAGCTGGGGAGGCTTGCTGGGTGAAGGCCATGTTGAGGTCGACTGGCGCTGCCATGCCGGCTGCCTGGGCTGTGGATTTGGCTGTCTCTAAACTATAAGGGCAGAAATAGGAGTAGGGAGGACAGGGAGACATGTAGAAATGAGAGAGAATGAAGATTAGAGGATTATACTGTTGCTACAACACTGGCTGAAGCTCCTGGAAATAGTTGAAGGGGGAAAACCTCCAATTGTACACATCAGTCTTGGTCATGGGGAGTCTTACTGCATATGTGAAAAAAGCTGAATAGAGCCTTTTGTCGCTTAAAAGGGAGAAAATCTAATACTTTGCCCCAAATGATGTCACATGAGTGTTGGTTAGGGCTGGAAACTTCAAGTTTGAAGGACAAATGTGGCATTAGAAAAAAAGTGAGCTTATCAAACCTCTGCAGCCCCCTCCTCATCTCTGCTAGAGGCTCAAGGCACATTAGCAACGGCTAGCATATGTCCAACCCATGCAGGTATAAAGAGGTCCATAAACTGTTGCCTAAAAAGCTGCATTTTGGGTGTTGAAGGCGCCGTCATGTCTTGACAAGAAACTCACTTAGTTGAATGTCAAATAAGATATCTCTGGTCTGCTGCAGAGATTTTAAAGCTTAACATTTAATTTAAAACATTGTGAGTCAGGCAGTTAACAATAACAAAAGTGGAATGCTAAATCAGTGCAGTATACTCGATTTAGCATTGGGGTGTACACCAGTCAAACTTAAAAAATGGGACCCATGGAAAGCCTATTGGAAATTTAAAAATAATATCGCCTAGCATGTAGCGTAGCCTATAGTAGAAAAGATAAGCACCCTCTTTCACAGTTGCTTCATTAAAAGGATGAATGCAGTATAATTGAAATATTGATAAATAAATCATATATAATAAACACTATTCTGAAATTCTGCATGACGACTTTTATACTACTTGTACTTGTATATTATGATGTGAATACTTTTTAACTATTAAATAAACGCATAAATGAATCGCTCCACCCTGCTAGCATGTTAGGTGACATTCAAACGCATCCAGAATGTTACTTTGTGCGCGATTGAAGTGGCTAAATGCTCATTCCCAATGGCACCTGGATCCTCCAGATTATAATGTTTTTACTCAGGAACTTTTACCTGCAGTGAGGTGTGTGGACACATATACTGGGATGGTCGGTTTGAATAGGCCAACAAACTGAGAAATTAATCCTGGAGCAGATTGAGGAGGGGTTAGCGGTGCACACGACTCCCATTCAGGTGAGTTCAACAAGAAGAACTCAGTCGTGTTTTGTGTAGGCCTTCTGAAGGTTGTTTACAAACCGTGCAGCTCTCTTTTGCTCTTTGTGTTGGTGCGGCACATAGAGTTTAAGACATCTATGTGCTGTCTGCTTGGTGATGTTTTATACTATTATGCGAGTGTCAGGTTGTTTATAAATGTGCTTTAATAATGAAGTTCGTATCACCCCTGCCATTGTGTTCATAACTATTTTATTTATTGGATCACTTTTGTTTAATAGTCTCGAATGTTGTCTTCTTTTATAAGATAAGTGTAATTGTGTGCACAGGCTGGAAATCGCCAAGGTATTGTAGAAGGGTGACATAAATCATAAATGACTTTGATTGTGCAATCATACATTGCCACAATCTCCCAGCTGTGTAATTTAGGAGGCGTATTTCTTTTTCTACAGGGTTTATTCCCACGTGAAGTAATAGAGTAGTCAGTCAGAACCTGATGTTGATGAATAGTTCAAATGAATGACAGTGAATTGCCTCCTTTGACTCTCTAATAGCAAGGACTCGTAATTACCAAGGGAAGTTCTATGAAGCCTGGTCTCATTGTAGTAACAGAAGAAAGAAACACAATATGCAGTAAATATTCTTTAATCTTTTTACTCTGAATGTATGTATTTTCGCTTTTTTATTATTATTTTCTGACTAATTGTATTCGTATTGACTACTTGCTGTATAAGTGCAGATTATTCTGTCACCTGTTCGTCAATGATTTACTCTAAGACTTAATTTTTCATAGCATTAATATGATCTCTACATATTGGGAAAGTTAATTAAGAAAAAGATGCCAGAGCTGCGATGCTACAGTAAAACTGAATTCCAACAAGACACTGCTTTTCTGTCTTACAACACACCCAGGCTCCTTGTCATTCCCCTGAGTCCAATTACCAGCTGCACAGGATATACCTCATTATCACTTATCACTCTACACAGCGTGACCTTTGACCCTTTTAAACCAATGCATTTCTCTCAGGGCTGCGCATGTAGTGATTCATTATGAGATGGTTGTACACTGGGCCTTACCAGGAGGTAATGAGGTACTGGGCCAAGTTGATGCTGACCGGTGTTCCTGTGATGGTCACATGACGGTCACTCGTCCCGTCCAGCTGGCTGCCAATCTTTATCTGGGCTCCCGACACCTGTCTGATCTCGTTGATCTTAGTGCCCTGACGGCCGATGATCGAGCCGATCAGCTGTAAAAAAACAGAGGCAAAGATGGATAAGTTCATTTGAGGGAAAAATAGATATGTCTTACTAGAAAAGAGCTTTTTGTTATTGTAGTTGAAATGCCGATGAAATTGATTCAGACAAAAAGGCCAAAAGCAAAAACACTCGAACAATAAAGAGTCTGTGCTGTTGTTGGTCTGGAATAATGCAGACCACTTCGAATATTGCATTACATTGTCTTCAGTGGATTGGTCATCCATCATTCATGTCAAAAGCGCTTTTTTCCCCCCCTTAATTGCTACTGCGTGAGCACCGGTAAAAGAGACGAGGGGAGGCACATTTGCCTCTCATTAATCTGAGTGGCTAAAAGGTTATTGATTCCTCAGAGTGGTGATGACTTCCCAAACAAATCACTTCCCAAACACATGCCAGCTAGATGCATCTCCGCACTAATGGAAAACATAATGGGAAAATGACTCAAATATATAACATACAGTGGGCTTCAGCTATCTCTCTGCTGAAAGTAGATTAGACGATGACATGAGTTTTATTGCATTCCCAAATACATTATCACTTTTGTTCTGGTTTCATTACGCAACCCCCGTCTATGAGCGACAATAGATGTTGAACAGGGCCAAAGCTCGGGGGCTGCGTATCAGCTCAAGTTGAGGGTGTCAGGGCTCAGTGACAGGGTTAGGCTGCCAGATATATAGTGAGTGGGACAGACAGTGATGGAGTACTTGTAGTATGCATGTGTGCTGGCAGCTTAGCGGGGACTGACGTAGGTAGGAATACACAACACACACACAAACATGGGGCTGCACTCGACCCTGGATTTCACATTCCTTTCCTGAGAAGTAAGCAGCCTGTTCCACAATGTCTGATTTGTCACACAGCGACCTGGTTGGTCTGCCTGGCTATTATTGGCTCAGCAGTTATCCTTGGGGGGTGGGGGGGAGCAGCCAGCCTAAAGAGCAACACTAAAGACAATGGCCACAACACACCTCAAATCACAGATAACGTGTCCCTCCCACTGAGACCAATAATCTCCACAGGACTCTGGCCTTTTACACCAGCTGTCAATAGACACCAGCTGTCAACAGCTCACCCACTTTGGTGTGCATGACCTCAGACAACAGCATTCCTGTTTCAACAACCTTAAAACAATGCACCCAGACCTAAATAAATGACACAGGAGACACCGTACGTATGCTTGCAGTGTTGATTATTTTTTCACGAGCATTTTAATACCATTATTGCTGCACTATAAACCTAGGCTTCAACTATAAGTGGCCTACATATTGTTTAGTTCCTGCTGAGGCAGTCTTTTGAAAGGACACAGGAAGAGCGATGGGATGGTTAGGGCAAAGCCATTTCTCTTCCGGCTAAATCTTCCTCCCGCAGAAGTACTGTACATACTGCTGACTTGGTGTAAGCAATTTCTCTCTGTGTGTGTGTGTGTGTGTGTGTGTGTGTGTGTGTGTGTGTGTGTGTGTGTGTGTGTGTGTGTGTGTGTGTGTGTGTGTGTGTGTGTGTGTTCACACAAGTCTCCTTCTGCGTTTGGTGTGAGCACAGAGCAGGATTGTGTGGCCGGCCTGAGGGGGGACGGGGGGCTGAGGAGACTCAGTCATGGTTATAAGTCCTCTCTTCTGGAACAATGGCTGGGGCTTACAGCTGTCCCTGTCACATATAGCGCTGGAGTCCCTCATTTCCCTCATGCATTGTGCCACTGGATATGTGGGGGTTTGCTAGGTTAAAAAAGCCTTCAGACATTTTAGAAATGCTGTTGAAGGGTCGTGGCTATATTCTATACAGTACAGTGAAAACCTAATCAATCAATCCTTTCTTATTTTCTCTGTATTGCACAACATCGGCAGCAAAGTAAAACAATTATTTAGTCTGGGATATTTCTTTGCCAATACGTGTAATTGAAGTAGTGTTTTTAAGTGAATTCCAATACACTTTAAAAGATAAGAACAAAATCAAAATTGAACAAATCAATGAAAAGACCTAAAAAAATATGAAAACACACCAGTTAGATACACAGTTGCACTGGGTTACATATCTTAGCTCTAGTTTATTTTGAGTCATTCCCACATACACCATCCTGCTGCTGTAAATACTCAGGCGGGTGTAAATCTGCAGTTTTAAATAGTCCCAGCAAATGCGTTATTCAGTCTACTCCTGGTTGAGAAATGTTCACTAAAAACGACAGGGCCTGGCTGTTTTAGGAAATTCCGTAGCCTTTTCAAAAAATTCTACCCTAAGTCTGTGACCTGATTTTAAAGATTTACATCGTCGTTAGGAAGTAATAAGCTTGAGGCAGTCATTGAGAAACACATTGTTTAGATCTTTTCACAGGATTTGTTGACGGTGATACAAAAATACAGAAGAAATGCCAGCCTTATCCTTCATTTTCTTTACAGCATTCATTCTTATGGATTAAATGCGGTTATGTTTTTTATAGTTGATATAATACCTGCACATTACTTCCTAAATCCTAAATGCTTTCATTATACATTTCTCTTTACCAAATAAAATCCACTAGGATGCAAATTATTACAATTAATAGACAAATGCTCTCTGTCCAAACCAAGCGAATGCAAAGCTAGTGCTCATCGGAAGGGAAATGTAGTCCGTCTTTATTTTGAAGTACATCTCTGCATCGTGATTTCTTCTCTCAGATTTGAGAGACGTTTCATCAAACCCTGGCGGAGGCTAAGTGAAGAGGGAAAGGATTTTTGTCTGTTTTCTTATTGGCTGTTTTGACAGCAGACAGCCTCTAAGTAGGTCAGGGAACATGAGAGGATTTACTGAGCACTCATGGGAGTCAATCTAAGACACTACAACTGCAGTACAGACAATAATGCAAAAGGATCCGTATCAGCTCAGAATCCCTTTAACCTTGGGTTAGTCTGAGGTTAGAATAATGAGGATAATTAGTAAGTTGCCAACATGTCTCTCATCTCTTTGAAGTCACATCCGCCATCTTTGCAGTTGCAGCAACCGCATCCAAAGTCACCTGCTCCTGCGCTGTGTTCATGTGAGAGGAGCGCTGGTTTGCTCTTGTTTTTCTCGTTGTTCAGATGGGAAAATACGAAAACAGAAAGAATAAAAACTTGCTTCTGCTTACATCATTGGGAATGAGCAGCTCCTGAGATGTCTGAGAGTTGGAGTCCATCCCTGATGAGAGAAAATGCAGGCGTCAAATTAATACAATTGACATATCATGCATTTTAATATTCATTCAACTCATGAAGCCACACAATTTGGCAGTTATTTGCTAGAAAAACCCTTTGAGCAGGGAACTCCAAGATATAATAAAGCAGTTAATTTCCATTTTAATGGCCTGATGTTTAACACGACACTCATTCTTTTCCATCTTCGGATTCTCTGACTCTGCTGAACGTATCATTTCACATAATAGTTTCTATGTGGGAGCTATAAAGGCGTGTCTCCTCCTTCCTCACTGACACAAGCACATTATCAGAGCAGCTAATGACTGCACGCCTTTATTCCTCAGGTCAAAGGCAAGTTGGAAATCTATGACAGGTTACAGATGGAGTAGCTTTCTCTACTTGCAAACTGTTACATGATTTATCCATTTGCTTGACTGTCAGAGGATTGGGATACAATCCAGAGCAAATAGTGACTATTGTTAGGGCTTTACCAGGCATGATAGATGAAGCAGGCTGGGCCATAGGGCTCAGGCCTTGCTGCATTGACAGCTGATGAAGCTTAGCCATCTGTAAGAGAGAAAGCAGAACTTAATGCAGTTAAACACAAACTACACATTTGATATGACATTATAACGGTAATACTGTACCTCTGAGTGTGGAATGCCATATTGGTTTTGCAAAGTGTAGGCCTGAAAGACAGCGTTCTGTATTAGATAAATCACAGCAATAAAACATTATTCACAGGCAATACATCTGCATCTCTTAATGGAAGTGCTGTGAATACATGCCTGTTTTGTTTTTTCAGAATAAGAGAAATACGGGTTTGTAGTTTTGCTCTGAACTGACTGTACACTATACTCTCTGATTTACTCCTCTTTCTTCCAATGCTGGTACCATAGGTTTTGATTTTATTTTTCTAGGCTTTGATTTATCTGTCTCTGAGATTTCTGCTGCCACCCAAGTACAATAAAGGCGAATTCCATTTTATTGTGGTTCTAACAGTGTTAAAAATAACGTATAAAAGATTGAACAAGAAAATATATTTCCAAACACACAGTGTCCCTGTTATACTGAATAATCCACAGACTACAGTGTGAACAGTTACGGACTAATTGTCTCTGAAACTGGACCAGCACGATCAGTGCCACTACTTCATGTTTGAAAATAACAATAATAATTGTAAAATCACTTAAAAATGTTAAAATACAAAAAGTTTGCATACACTATTCTGTACCAGTTTTATTTACAGTAGAGTAGACATGTTACGTTTTTACACCCCAGAGAAATGACTCTTTTGGATTTGGGAGCAGTAGTGCAGCATTAAAAACAAAACGTCAACATCAATAACAGATAGAGAAAATGCAAAACCATGGTTTAAATGTTATTAAATAGAAAATCATCTTTATAATCAAATCCTAAAAAAATCAGGAAATTAGATTTTTTTCATTTATCAAGTTTGAACTAAGAATCTTCAGGACCTCAAACAGAAAGGATTCAACTCAAACCCCAACACCTTCAGTGTATTGGGATGGCAACAAACCATCCAAAACAGGGACACAAAAGCTATGCTAAGCTATACAAAAAATATATACATTTTATTCTGTAATTAAGGTGATTCAACCCTTTTTTTTTTAGAAAGGACTTGTTGAAAACATTTATTACTCAAAAAGTATTTGTGAACTCATGCTTGTTGGCTGCAACATTTTATTTCTACCTGCAGCCATCCCCCCATTTTCTTAAACAATGCAGACTCACATTATGCTAACCCCTATTTTGTCTGACTCCACCCATTGATTCTCACTTTAACCATATATCCTTCTATCCATCCATCTGTCTATCCATTCTAACTCAATTCTGCCTGACGCCAGCTGTCTGGATTCTATTACCAGCCCTTATGGTCATAAACATGTCATTATAATGCATCAGTACATTAGGGCTTTTTAAAGGAAAGCAGAAACACACCACAAATTAGTAGCAATAATCTTTCAATTTACAGCATGAGTGATCTAAATCATAACATCTTTATATTTCATTCCCCACAATTACATTCTTTTCCAGTCTTAGGCTATTTTTCAGATTGCTGTATCCCTTTTGATATCAGGACAGTATCTTCTGTCATGGGAGTGTTTTCCTAAAGCCGGGCTAAAAAAGAGACTGTGTTGGTGGTGTGTCATGGCATCGTGTTTCAGGAGAGGTTATAGCTCTAATGACAGGGTAGAACAATAGCTGCAGCTTAAACTCAGCTGTTGTTTTTAATACCTCGAGCCAGAGGATGGACTGTGTAAATTTGGACATAGCACACAATCATCAGATCTTCACAGCCATGAAAGGCATTCCTGCTCTCTGCGATGGAGTTTAAGACCGACTTCCAGACAGATCTTTTAGATTTTATATTCAGAATGGAGACATTAATGAGTGTCTAGTTACCTGCTGGAGGTCCAGGCCACCTTGGGTGACGGAGTACATAGGGTGGGGTGCATATTCTGACGCTTCATACACCTACAAACACACAAGAGAAGGAAAAATTAAAAATAGCACATAATTGAAATACCTTCATGTTTATAAGTCCAGACAGTCATCATTATTATTGCAATGGAAGAGTGATTATTGAGTGTAAATGTTCTCCCACCAGCTGAAATCCATGGTAATGTAAAAATAATGAATAAAAAAATCCCAATTACATATTTTTCCCCTTTTTCTTTTGCCACGGATCATATTTGGTCTGAGATAGGCTCTCCAGGCTGCTTCTCTGACACTCTAATACACCTAACAGGCTTATAGCCCATGACTCATCCGCAGACCCTTTTCCCATTCCACTTCATCTTCTCCTCTGACAAATTATACAAACATCCCTCATCACAGCGCTGCCTTCATTAAAGCCATCTCCCAGTGACTAGGACCTCACCCGGGTTTAATTTGATAGCTTATTATGGGGAATTTCAAAAAAACAAAGCCATTCCGTAAATTGACCAGAGTCTGAGGCAGCACAAACACTGTCAGAACTGCTGACAGCTATGCAGAAAATCTGACTGCTGCTGCAGCCAGAGCCGACGGCAGGTCTCCAGTCTCACTTGCTAATCTTGTGACTTGCTCCATGGGGGTGGGGGGGGTATCTGTCCCTTCTCAAACAGCAGCATCTATACCACTCAACCCTACACTCACTCACAAAATAAACACCCTCACCCCCAACAGGAAGCAGTCTTGTTTTCCTAGTTTGAGCCAAGAACTTAATTGTTAATACCTTCCCATTATCATTTGTAGTTTGAATTGAATCGGGAAGGTGAGAGTGTCAGCACCCCAATGCTAATCCAGTTGTTCTCAAACATTTCAGATATTCGAGTGCAATGGCTCTTGTACAGGCATTTATTTAAAGCCACAAGCAGGTCAAAGTTCTCCCTTTTCTTTGTCAGCACAACTGCCAGGGTGACATTTGTTTTGATTGAAATGCCTTACAACTTTTGGATGGACTTCAAAAACTATATTTAGTGTTGGAAACATAAGTGAAAATCAGACTAAAATGTATCATTGTACCTTTTTAGCCCAGTCTCACGGCATTTCGTGTTATGGTCACAAAATTAATTTAATCTATTGATTCGTGTTCATCAACACGATTTTCGCATTTTTTTCGTGTCACACAGCACGATTTTAAAAGCAATGCATTTCTATTGGTAGCATGTTTCGTGTGCACCACGTCTTTTTGTCCGGTCGGGTCTTGGAATACCAGAAGCTGTGTGGTTCATAAAAACATATTCTTACTCAATATCTTACCCTAAGCCTAACCCTATCCCTTTTATTTTAAACTGTATAATGTCTGAGGTTTTTTTGCCGTCCGTGAGGAAAAGAAATGGGGCTCAGAGCCTCAGAATACTGAAATCTGTATTTTTTGTCATCTTTTTTTCCTTCTAATTTGTTAATATTTGGTGCAGGCACGAAGCATGTAGTTGTATAGAAATAGAAATGCATTGCTTCTAAAATCGTTCTGTGTCAGAATACTGAAATCTGTATTTTTTTAAATCTGTTTTTCCTTCTAATTTGTTATCATTTACATTGCTTTTAAAATCGTGCTGTGCAACACGAAAAAAAGGGGAAAATCGTGTTGGTGAACACGAAATGCCGTGAGACTGTGTTGACCTTTTACATGAATATGTTGCGCAAATTAAACATTGAAGTTACACTTGGCTCAAACTGCAACAAAATAAAGAGTTTTCTGACAGTATTAGCAGGACACACAAGAGAAGGATCATCATTTTGTTGAACATCTCTTTTTATATCTTGTAAGCAACAGTCTAACCTTTACCGCCTCTAAAGCTTCTATGGCCCTAAAACGAGATTCACCAAACAGCTGGAGAATAACTGTGCTAGTCTATCATTTATAAGCTACCCGACATGCAGTAAAATCTCTCACCTGGTTCCCTGCGATGAGGAGGGCAGCTGGTGAAGGGCTTGGTCGATAGGGGATAGTGGCACCCTTCGGGGGAGACTAAGGAGTCAGAAACAAAACAAGTTGTAATAAATCTTCATCATAAATCTCAGGAATAAACTCACATCGACTCAAATGAATATAGCAATTAAGTGAAAGAGTGAGACACTAAGTGCAAATGGTGTGCAACTCTGGTACATTACAATTAATGATGAACTTAACAGCTAATGGCACAGACATTATTCCTTTCCTTGTTTTCCTTTTGATAATATTAGTCATTCATTGAATAATTGAAGCAGTGGATAATAGCTCTGAGTTTCAGTTTGCATCGGAGCGGCTGGCTCTGCAGTGTCCCTCGCAATAAAACACGCATCCAAGGACAAGGAGATATGTGTAGGTAAAATGTAATTCAAACACCAATGAGAAAGGAGATTATACCGAGTGCACAACACCGTATATCTTATCAAGTATAACTGCACTATTGGCGTAACCGTTTCTGGCTTCAGAATGTAGAGCATATTTTGTGCGGAAGTAGTCACAGCAAATTCTTTGTATAACTCTGCATAATTTAAATCTTGGAGCCAAAAGCAAGAAGCTGCTGGTACAGAATCCTAATGAAACTCCCAAGCCTTTGAAGAAAGCCCTGGAAAACTGGATCAAACTAGCAATTAGTCAGTCAGGTCCAGCTGCAATGCTAAAACAAAAAGGACTTGTGCACTTCCATGAACACACAGGGAGAAACTGTGCTCGGGGTTGTTTTTCTCTCATCTCCTCGATTTTATCAAGAGAGCTGTTGTCTAAAGGTGCACAGATATTGCCACAGGCCAGTTTGTTTTGTGTTGGCAGCTTAGAGTCCTCCCCAACAGCTCTGACCTGAGAGCAGCACCTTTTTGACTTCATTCAATGTCTCGCATAGTGTAAGAGGGCGTGTATTATTTATTATTTTGAGCGATTTCCTATGTTAGATGATAGGAAATACTGTGGAATCCGTGTTCACAAGCGGGTTGATTCTAGTTAAAGGTAGCATTACATAACAAGGAAGACAGACTACTAAAAATGCATTATTAACTGCAGCTGCAGTGCAATGAAACAATTATTTACCTCCCGTAGCTACAGCAGCAGAGCCATGACAACATGTTAATAATAATAATAATAACTTTTATTTATATAGCGCTTTTCAATAACCCAAAGTCGCTTACAAAAAAAATTAAAAGTACAGAAAGGGGGTGAACAGGCAGAAGACAACATATGTTAGCTAGGTATGTGGAATAAAGAGAGGAATAGTGAGCTTCGTACCTCCAGGATTACTGTGCAGATGAGTCTGACACACTGGATTACAGACTCCTGATTCCCAGATATCGTCACCCCTCGCTCGGTAGAGTTGGGCAGCAAATCCCCCGCCACCTGTATCTGAGCTCCGGTGCTCTGCAAATGATAGGGGTTTTAAAAGAAGGATTAGTTTGATTCCAGAGATAAGACAAGCCGTTATTACTCTGCCATGACTCCCACCCTGCTGGCTACACTGACCTTATATCCCTTCTCTTTTATTGACTAAGACCAACCATGCTGCTGTATTTTTATTATCAAATCCTGTCAGGTTAGAGATAAATGAAAAGTCACTTATGGTCAGCAGACATCATTCTCTCAATTAAAGCTGATATATTCATAATAAAGCATGTCTGCAGGCAAGGAGTGCTTTTAAAGATGTATCTACATTTACTGATGTCTCTATCAGACTGCAGGGTTTTTTGGGGACTTTGTTGAACCAAACATATCACAAGATGCAAGTGTAAGTGAGCATGTGTCCTGTGGCAACCAAACAAACAAAACACATCCGTAACTGAAACAAATTTGGGTTATGAACACAGCGAGAACATCCATCTAACCGCAGAATATCCACTGGATGCTATTACCAGTCAAGGTAAAGTCTAAAATGAGAGAGATACTATTTGTAGTTGGGTACATCGCTAAAGTTACAGTGTCAGATGTCTCTGGCAACAGATCTGATATGTTTAATCCTGATGTTTCAACTGGGGCTGAAAGTTTTCCTTTCAAAGTTGCCATTGCTGAGTCATACTGTTTGTTGTGCTAAGTGTTCTTTCCGTACCGCATTGTCTCACTAACTTCCTGCCTTAATAGTCCAAATCCAATTTCACTATGGTGCCAACCTAAGTGCAGATACTACCACTTTGGTCTAGAAGGAAATATCTGAACTACTATTGGATGTATTGACGTGAATTGGTGTTCAGACATTCATGTTCCGCAGAGTATGGATTGTAAGAGATTTCCTCTGGAACCAGCTTTAGGTGAAAATGTAATCCTCCGATATTTGGTTAACGATCAAAAACCAACAAAACTAACAACATTCATCAATCTAAGCTCTACTTTGGGTTTGCTGCTAATGAGATTTGTTTTGCATTTGAGCCAGCTAAATTAAGATGGTGAACATGGTAAACACCATACCTGCCAAACATCAGCATGAAGTATTTTTTATTGTGAGCATGATATTATCTTACATAAGCATTTAACTCCAAGCACTGTTGTTCCTCACATACTCACAGAGCTAGATAGATTTTCATGCTTGATCTTAGTACAAGCAGGATGACTTATTTTTGACAGAATTGTGAAAATGAAATATCTCTCGCTTTGAGCTGCAGTTTATTTTCCCTCCTCTTCAGGAGCACATTTGTTTTCCTCATTTTTCAGTGTTCATCCAGCATGTGCGGCATTGGGCAGGGCGGATGGGATACATTTGTTTTCTGGCTGCTCACCTCTCTGATCTCCTTTATCTTTGCCCCCCCCTTCCCAATGAGAGAGCCACACTGGCTGGCAGGGATGACCAGCCGCAGGGTGACTGGTGGCTTGGAGCTGATGGTGCCGTTGGCCACCAGCGTAGTCAGGTCCTTGAGAGAGATGTGGGGAAATATAATGTGGTGAGAGTTGGCATAGAGAAAGGGGGGAGGGAGAGAGAGAGAAACAGAGAGTCCCAGAGGGAAGGATCAGGCAGCAGAGGGCAAGGTGGAAATGGAGGGAGAGAAAAGCCACCAGAGGCAAACAAGGCTTTTATTTCCAGTAATGAGGAGCGAAGAGATCCTAAACTCATAGGTCGAGATGAACCAATTCATTCTGTTAATGGCAGCTGGAGCTAAGAGTAGTCTATCCTCTGCACCTACAGCCTCCTGTTTTCAGTGTTTCAATTGCTGTTGCCCAGATATAGGAGATGTATTTCAGTCTGATGTGGGGTCTTTAAAGGATGTTCAATCACTTGTATGAAACTCTGAATTCTCCATGAAGGGGAACATGAATCACAGCACTGATTGCTTAAAAGATTTCACTAGCTGCATAAAACTGAGTCGAAAAATTCTAGCACATTGAACCGGTTCACCTTGGTGTTCCTTTCCAGAAATCTTTTCAAAAAGCAAGGCGATGTAACATGACGATATACAGAAAGAAACATGCAACTATTTACATCATTTTCATTTGCTTAGTCTGCTTTGCTTTGCCCATGAGATGAGGCTTCAGTTTAGGGGATCAAGGAATAGTTTGGACAAAGGTGTATTTGTTATCCTGCTGAAAGTTAGTTAAAAATATCAACTTGTTAAATATGAAACTATAAGCATTTTCTTAAGACTGGAAAAAGCTAAATCAGCTTTCTTCCAAAGCTCGGTAATTAAGTTGTTATATCTTTTTTAATTAATCTGTACAAAGCGGTAAAAACAACACCATGCTGTTTTAGGGATGTTTATGTTTATGTTTAGCAACGACAGGAATATTGGACTCACACTAAGGAAAGCTCTTGAGAGAGAACAATTAAAACAAAAATCCTTTCAGTTTTTCAAGTTTGGTAACTACTAAATTATTTAACATTAACCTCCCAGTGGATAAAGTTTAAATGTATGCGACTGACAAAGCCTGTTGATAATAACAGCCCAAGAAAATGTTTAGAAAAATGTGTTATCCAGATTTTTATGTGGATCAAGAACCGCACTGAGCTGGGTTTCAGAGTGCAGGTATAGCTAACATCCTGTGCCTGCTCTCCTGTGGGTGGAGATTGAGCTTTTAATTAATGAACAGTGTGTCTCTGTGAACCTTTGAAATGTAAATGTGCTGCGCTGTCTCTCTTCCCATCAGAGTTCATCCCACAACAAAATGTCTGACAGAATGCAAAGCATGCAGCTTGCTTTCCAACGGTTTGTGTTTGCTATAAAATTAGCTTGACTTAAGAAGGGACAGTGTGGATGTGTTGCCTCGAGGGATTTTACTTAAGACGGGAACTGCATAATGTTTCCAATAACTGTGAACCTTATATTTGAAAGGCATATTTTGACGTTGCTCTTGTGCCTCTTTGCTCCATGTCTATATTTAGTGAGGCGGATCAGGCTCTTGACGTCTCGTCTCATTACAAGAGGGGCACGCAGCTCGTCGCTGCAATCACAAGACTCTGGGCTTCTTTTTCTTTATTTGATCTAAAAATACGAGCCACATCTTAACAACTATGAATGTTCCCATTCTTCCCTCTGACATCCTAGCCAAAAAAGAATCAAACTCTCAAAGCGCATTGGCGAGAACAGACACAAGCACTGCTCATTCAAAGAGTTGTTGGTCTTAAATCCCCCAAGCATATTGTGTTGCTTGTGAGATACGAACACGGACAGATTATGTGGCTTTCATGCACACTGAGCCTCGACACCTGGGAACAGAATACATGTAGGATACTGCAGTGTAGTGCTACTGCATTGTATTGTGTTATTGGAGAAATGGTTTCAGATTATCACATCATTTAAATTGCTGAAGAGTGTGTTTTTGCAATCATGTGGCAGCAGTTGGGGAACGCTTCCTCCATAAAACAGACGGAAACACACACAAGTGATTAAGTGCTAAATGAAAGGACTAAGTGCGCCTGTGTAATCATAAACTGTTGAGACAGAAACAAATGCCAAGTCTAATACTCCGTGACCAAAAAGCTGATTATTCCCCCTTTGTTTTTAATTAAATGTGTCACAGATACGATAACTCAACTTTGGTGGATGTGGCGCGCAGTGGGTCAGCCAACACGTTGCCATGGAAACTCAAGAGTTTCAGGGTTGAAAAGATGTGAGTGCAAAAAGTCTTTAATGAATACCGCACTGCTCTCCCAGCCAGCGTGTGTTTACTGAAGGCTGTCGACCTGAGCAGGGAGCACCTGTTTCGTTGCCAGTGTCTGCTGTGATGCTAAATCTGAGTGAAGACGACTCTCATTCCACCATATTAATTAGCGCAGTGACGGACAGTCACCATGGGGATTAATAGCAAGAAGAACCTGTCATCCACAACTCATTAGCAGACGATGACAAGGTATCCAAATCCTTCTCATTAGCATTATTTGTGACTTTGATACAAGTGGACTGTGTTGCCAAGTAAAACACATTTATATGAAAAATAACTTCCCGGATAAATGCACAACAAGCATCACGTCATTCCACTTACAACAGCAGCTAAATTCACTAATCCTACATTTTCATCTGCAGCGTTTTCATATCTGTGAGTGCTATGAAACGAAGCTAAAGCATTTCCTTCCATCACTTCAGTTTAGAGTATAATCAATGGCGATAAAAGCACATTAGTGGTAATGTGCAGATGAGATGGTTCCTTGTAATGATGGTGAAATGGCTTCTCTTACCTTTTTGGCTCTACTATGACTTCCAAAACAACTTCCAAAAGCTTGCTTTGACATTTGCAATCAGTGCTATGTTTGCTCAGTTGTATGGACACGATGAGCTGATTTCACCAGTATGTGACACCATTTAGTGACATGCAGGATCGTTACCTCCTCCAGTTTGTAGGTGATCATGGTGAAAGCTCTGAAGACGCAGTCTGTGGAGCCGGTGATGGTGATGATCCTCTCTGGACAGGAACCCTCTGAGATATTTACGCGAGCGCTGCTCTGTAGGGACAGAGGTCAAAAGGTCAGTTAATGGTCAGCACTGATTAACATGTTTGACAGTTGGCATTGTATACTTGTAAGCTCTCTTTCTTAGACTTAAAGGAGAAGATCAATACCTGTGCTAGGAGCAGTACCTTACTGAAAGTGCTTGATGGTTAATTTTATTCAGCTTTCGCCAAAGCCAGGCTAGCTGTTTTCCCTGCTTACAGTCTTTATGCTAGGCTTAGCTAACCAGCTACTGAATGTACTTACCAATATACAGAACATTAACAACATGAGAGTGGTTTTGTTCTTTTCCTCTAACTTGAGCAAGGCGACTTGATAAAATGTCAAACACTGTTTTTAATCTTCTTGTGGTTGGGTTTCCAACTAAGAGGCCTGAGATATACCTTACAGTAGAACACATCTGTGCACAGTAGTAGTCAAGTGACATGATTTAAAATGAAGTGAGACAGAAAGCTGAAGCTCCCATCCCATATCCCACACTGATAACATAATGTAGTTTCTTCTGGGGGAGTGAATGACAAATGTCCTGCCCTTCTCCTTCTATTTTGTGTCCTTGAGGTAAAGTCACATGAGACAGGCTCTGAGCTTCAGGACGATTTCTCCCGTCACTCCAGTGAGTCATGATCCCACTGGGACCGTTAGGCCTGGGGAGCGGGTGACAAGGTGAGGCTCATACAGTTGGAAAGTAAAAAGGCCAAAACTGGCTGGCTGGATGAATGGGTAGATGACTACCATGGGTGAGTGGTTTATCTATCAGCTCTGCAGGGCTGCATTGTCCCATGACCTCATTGTTCCTCTGTTTATCCCTCTGCCTCATAAAGTTCAACATTAAACCCTAGCAGCCAGAAAAAGAATCAAATGTACAGCCAAGGTGTAAGCCTAATTACTTTTTAATACAAAGAGGTAACCAAGCGGTGTTAGTTTGGCTGCACCCTTGGGATTTATAAAGAGAGAATGGAGGGGAAGAGAAAACGTAAGTTGTTTTAAGCAGGAACAGATAAAGGGTTTGGTTAGCAGGCAGCTACAGGAGGGGTAGGTAAAGGATGGGGGGAGAGAGAGAGGATTTAAATTGAAAAGGTGTCGTTATTGCCCAATAGGCAATCTGGACAATGTTCCTGCTCTGTATGCTTTTCAGACTCAAAGATCATACAGAGAGAACTAAGCTTTACTATTAATACATACAATGTACAAGGCCAGAGAGCCTGCGCAGCATTAAAGGCCTTCTGGGATTGAATTATATTTGCTCTTAAAATGAAGAAGAATTGTGGTCGGTTCATGTCTTAGTAGCAGAAATAGGGAACGAAGAGGGCTTATTTTGGCTGTATTTCTTGCTGACACGCAGTCAGAAACATATTTAATAACAACATCAAATAGCATAACTGATGCAGACGATAAAAAGCTGTTGTTTTAAATCTCTAAATTATGGACACAGTACCTCTTCTCGTATTCGTTTCACAGTCTCTCCTTTCTGCAAAAGAGAAGATGAAGGACAGCTTTAAACAAGATCAAATGTGTTTCATTTAAAACATCACGGTGTCCTCAGCCTCTAAGTGAAACTTGCTATTTTAAACCACGAAAGTCAGAATTGAATTTAGCAGAACACATTTCAGCTTGTGTTTCAATGTGCAATGTATCGCAGCGGTGATCTCTGTACTGCTGTCTCAAAAAGATATCAAATGGATCTGTGCGTCTGAACGGGACGTACACCTGCTGTAACGGCTCAATATGCAGCGTGTGTTAAGAGCTCCTGCTAGGGATATGAACGTTATGTCAGACTTGTGTCTCGCTGCAGCTCATCCTCTGCTGGTTTTCAGATTGTTTCTTCTCCTTTCTTCTTTTTTCTTTGGGCTTAAGTCCATCCAAGCTGTCACACCTGTGTTCACACCATCATGCATCCACTGACTGACCGTATCAAAAACATTATCATGTCCCACTCTTGGCTACACTGTTATTTATTTTATACTCCAGGAAAATGTATTATTAAGTAGTGCATTGTGATTCTGGTGTTTTCTATTGATGAGCAAAGATAAGAGGTCTGCCAAATAGATGGAGTGGCTTGTCATTAGTCCAAGTACTGCAGATCAAGTGCCTCTCTGTGTTGAGCTGTGTCGCCTCTATTTTTCTTTTCTCTATTTTCTTTGAGATATTTTGATTTGCAGTCCTTTGTGGGATCTTTCTCTCCAACACTCTTTATTTTCTTGCTTTCATATTTTGTTTTGTCCCTGGTCTGTCTTCTATTGATGTCTTTTCTAGGTGTTGTATTACAAGGCGTTATAGCTGGAGCCAGCGAGGCAGCATAGAGCAGCCAGGCCTTTCCTAGCAGACACTTAAAGTGCCCACGAGGGGCCTACAGTAATATGTCATTGCAGCTCAGTTTCAACAGGAGGCTTGCAGTCAATGCACTTATGTTTCTGTTTGATGGATTACTGGGTTGCATCATGGGTTGGTGGGGGTGGTGGCAAAGTCTTAAGAGGGTTGGTTTAGGGCAATTACATTTAGAATGGGGATGTTCAAAACAAAAATTGTTTGTTAGGGAGCTTTGTGCTCTGCGATGATTTCAAGATGGAAAGGAGGAATTATTCCACAAAGGCGTATTATAAATCTACATAAAAGGCATCAAAAAGGGATTTGGCTTTGAAAAATGTAAAATATAGATACATTTGAACAAGATTAGACAGAGAATAGCATTTAAAAAACATAAGCCTCATCTAATAAAGCAATATAATTGGTATTTATTATATATTCTATAAAACATCAGCAGTTTCTGGTGTAGTAGAATACAAATAGGGATTCCTACCTTTCCTATGATGCTTCCAACCTCCTAAAAAAACAAGGAGATAAAGGTTATTTCATACACTGAATTCAATTTTAAAAAGCAATAACATATACTGTATAATGCTTCATTATTTATGAAGTTTATATATTTGTGATACTTAACGAGGCAGTTACTCATAAACATATTATGTGCAGGAGGCTCGTACCTTTCCATGCATGAGCAGTCGTAGTGTGAGGGTCACTCCCAAGCCCCCGTCTGCAAAGTCCTGCTCACAGTTCATAGTGATGTGGGAGTGGCACGCAGGGAGACGCATGAACAAGGCTCAGTCGCTGGTCACTCAGCCAAACCAAGGCCAGCACTCGTTCTCTGGCTCTCCGGTGTCTTTCAGTGTCACTCTGAAAGAGAAGAGAATTAAGTTAAAATACATTTTTTGTCTTTTCAAAATAATTTCCATCCTACCAAAGTCACAAACGTTTGCATTCATGCTCACACAGACATCATTGTTTGCACTCAAGATCTCACTGATGTCGTGGCATAAGAATTTCAGTCATGCTGAGCATTATGTGCAACTATTCATCAAATAGCCATTTTCTTTAAATTCTTGTATGAAAATATTCATACTGTATCAAACAGAATTGTTGGCTAAATGATAATTCCTTGAGATGACAGACATTCAAATGAACAAAGGAAAATTCTTCCCCATCAAATACATCTATATTTTTAAAGGCCTTTGAAAAAACATCAAATCAAGAATCTGTGTGAGGAACTTCTGTAGAAGTATGAGTCCGATGTACTATTGATGGTAATTCATAATGAAGACCATCGTGTGTGTAGGATATTGTCAGCTTCGGGGTGCTAACAGTCTGTGGGTTGCCATCGGTGACTAACACACTATCTGTGCGTCTTCATTAACTGACAAGCAGTTCCTCTCACAGCCAGTTGAGTGATTAGTGAAATTGGTAGAAAAAAAATAAAGTATGTCCTCTCCGTCAAGCCAGGCGTGAGTGTTATACTAAGTTAATAAAATTCCATTCAAATCCAGTTTTCATAAAATTGGAAATGTTTGGAATTTCTTTTGGGACCTGACTTCTATCTACTCCATCTTCATCAGTCAGTCAGAGAGAGAAACAGTCTTATGGGCAGAGTTTATACTCAGACAGCAGATGAGGAACATCTGTGTTGATCCCAGAATGACAATGTGGCAGCAGCGACGCGCATGTCAGTAATGTCACATTGGGTATTATGATTAATGTGCGAGTCACCTGGCGGCTCAGTCTCAGAATTATGTGTATAATTAGTTCATGGAATCATTCGTGTTGCCTCGTGATTTATATTTGCTTACATTTGTCAGCCTGGACAGGGGAAGTAGATGGGATGCATAAATATAGCTACACCATGGATGCTGTGTGACGAGCAGAACATAAAGAAAAGGAGATATTCCTTTTATTCCTGATTTTTTAACGGATGTGACAAATGCTTTCAATTAGAGTTATACACCTATTTTATTTATTGATGATTACTCAGATGATTATTTTATTTAATTCTGCCGGAAAACATCAACAAAATATTTAGAAACATTATGACTTTAAATGTTCCGTTTAGTCTGAACAACAGCCCATACCAAAGATATTCAGCGTCATTTCTCATTACTGTAGCTGGATATAGATAATGTCTTTTACTTAAAAGACTAAAGTTGCATCTATCAGAAGCACTTGGATGAAAAGCCTGAAGATTTATCATCAGGAAACTATGAAAATGATTTCCAAATGTTGTGAAGTTCATCAAGTTAATGTAGAAATATAGTGGCCCTGAACAAAGTGGACCTGACAAGTGATCTCCCTCTTTAGCCGGTAGCGTAGTAATAAATAATTATTGAATTATCAATGCGGCTGTTGATTCATTTATGTCGATTGTCTCATTCATTAAATTACTTATCCTCAGCTCTGCTTACAACACTACATATAAAAAGCCTTTGATTTTAATTAGGCTGTTCAGACCTTTGAGATATCAGAGGAATTCACCATAGATCATGTTAACCACTCCTTTTCAGTGACTCTCCTCCTTGTTGACTCATCAAGGCCACTTGTTTGTCTGCCAAGTGAATTCCAACCAGCCTACAGAGCCACCAGCAGCCCACTGCTGCAATCCTAATGACGCCGCCTGGCATATGTTTGTGTCTTTTCTAAATCTGCATGCTGTCTGTAGATTTGGTGAGCTACGTGAGTAGATCATGTTTAATAAATGGGTGTTATTTTAGATGAGATTCAATTCCTGAGAGACTTGTTGTAGGCAGGTTTATTGCTTTTGCATAGTGCACAAGGCCACTGCTGCTCCGTTGATTTATTCATGCACTGGATGCTTGCAAAGAGACGTTAGAATGCTCACACACATCCTTCTTAAGATCCTACAGAGCTTGACGGCCTGTGTGGGCTTTATATTCCCCTCCACGGCCGCGGTGCAGTCTGACATGCCAGCCCGTCAAAATGTGGTAGCAAGTGTCTTTTTCTTGTATAAGATTGCACCAAATCAGACTTCCTTTCCATTTTCTTGAGGGATGCTCAATGGGTTGACTTATAAAACTATCAGTTTGATGCTCATCTCCATACAATTTCCATACATATCAAACAAACCCCAAGGGTGACTTGAGATAAACAAAATATGGAGCATTTTGCTTGCGGTTAGCTACAGATATACTTTAAGACAGCGTAATTGTGACTTTAGGCTTGATCGATGCATCCTGAACACGTGTTATCACAGAGCACATTTGTGCAACCCGTGGGCTAACTTCATTATGTTAAGGCCCTGAAGGGCATGGCTAAAATGTTAGCGTCTTATTGCATTAGGAGCTAATGGTTGGAGGCATCATTATGTTCTGCTCTGTGGGTTGATAACAAGGCATGTGCTCTGTGTCTGTGTGAGGGCGGAGAGTCTCTGAACTCCTCATTTCCAGAATCCCAAGCAGCAGCGTTCCAGGATGAACAGAGCCCCTCTGTTCTAAATTAGACCTGGTAACTCAGAACAGGGAATTAGCAAAGTGCAGACTGCAGCACCCGGCTGCCAAAATAGTCAGAGCAGGAGAGCGAGGCAGAGAGCATCGACTGTCCTGCTCCACTGTCACTGTGTCACCTTGGTCCTGCTCTGCCTGACTGAATCTGTCTGCAGGAGGTTCTTGTTATGAGTCACTGCTTGGATTCATCTTTAAATACCCTGAATGAAGCATGACTTACGAAACCAAATGATTGACACAAACTTAAGGAATGGCCATAAGAGGAAAGTCATCAGTCAGCTCTTGCCTGTTTACAACGTTTTTATAAGTAAAAAACATAGATTATTTGTCTGGGCAATATGGAGAAAAAACAAATATCCACAACAATATTGTAGGGTTCATTCATTCACCATTGGTGCTTTTAGAAAATATCCTATAAATGTGGCATTGCCCCAGTAACACACTATTCAAGGGGAACATGAACAGGCAGTTTGACCTTAATATCTGAACATAAAGATGAATATAATGTGTGATAAACAACAAAAGCTGTTTGAATGTGTCCTTAACTGGTTCTCATAAGTACAATTTTACAAAAAGGATTCCTGCCAAAGAAACAAGACACGATTCATTACCGGAAAATTGAAAAAAACAAAATGATCCTTTAGGATATCGAGAGGTGTTTTTCTCTTTTGGCCCTAGTTCTGTGTAGCATACATCAAAGAAGTCTTGGATAAAAGCAACCAGCATATCCTTGACAGCCACCAGCAATATTTAACCGTGTTTTCAGGAGCATCCACTCCAGAGAGTCAGCGAGATGAAAAGGATGTTGTGCAGCCCGCTTGTCTAGAGGACTGGACACCTGTTCAGAGGCAAACATGTCTCTCTCGCACGCGGCAAACAGACGGCTCGGGGCCGGCTTAGAGAAAATGAAGAAGGAATGAGAGCATGCCTGATCTCCATGGTGAAAGATAGAAACAGGGTTCCCCTCTGCATATAACGCAGACAGGGGGTCGGGGGTATTGAGTGTCCGCTCCATAAACACACAGAGGCAGAGAGGATAGGGTGTCCCCCGGGTGGGCACATAGAGAGCAGTAAGTGCAAGGGTGTCAACGTGTGTACACGCGTATGGCAAGGGCAAGAGGTGAGAGGACATTTACACACATAGAGACTGCCACGCTCACAGGACCGTGTGCAGAAAAACAAACCCACGTACAGCTGCTGGGATGAAAGAAGGAAACAATTCACACACACTAACACACACACCGGCAGAAATCGTCCTGTTGAAACACAAGAGCGAACAAAAGCTTTGATCTGCTGAGAAGCTCCGCAGGAGTCAGATATCTGTCATGGACAAACTCAAAGTCCTGCCATGTTTGAGTGCATGGGATGACACAATGAGAGCGTCATTTCCTGAGATGATGATGATGGACAAATGGTTGAGTAAAAGAGAGGAGTCCTGTTCTTCACTATAGTGGTCAGTGCTAAAATAAGACCCTCAGGGAAACGTCTGCACACATCCACACAATAACACACAAGTGTACCCACCGAAACAAATGTAAATAGGCCATTCGGAGCTTCTTTAAATGAATTGTACTGCGTGCTCTACCCAAGAGCATGTGTAGAAGCTCTACATTGTGGAAAATATTGGAATAGCGACTGCCTATTCAAGAGAGCCTGCATACGAACATTTCAGCAGAGTTACGACTTAATGCAGAGGCTTCTTGATTAATGAACTATTTGAGGCTGCATGTTTGGATTAGCTTTAACAGCATCACTGCCATAAGTCATGCTGGGATTCATCAGTAATATGGCTTTATGAGCCGAGACGAGTAATTATGTTACTGCAGCCAAGAGAAGACTGTATGCTACATAAAACTCTTGAACAAATGAAGCACAGTTTATACCTCCTCTCCCACTTTCATATATTATGCTCTATCAATTGTAGCTGCACTAAACCTGAATCCACACTGAGCACAGTTGAAGGGTTCTTATGGGTTTTATAATAATAACACATTTGATCAACTTAATACAACACAACCACCGTTATCCGATTTCCGTTAAAATATTACTCGGATTGGTGCAGAGAATATGTGAGGTCACTGTTTTTCTCAACTGAACCCCCACTTAAATCTACAATAACAAAAAAAAGTAAATTCCATAACGCTTTGACGGGTGAAGCGCACAACTTTAACACTTAAAAGCACTTGATTTGAGTATTCAAATGTTACTTTACCATGGTTGCACTTCAACAACATCATCACTGAGATGAGAGCGAGAAGAGGAGAGGCTTTAGTTATGAAACAGGAGAGGCTTGAAATTAAAGAGCAGTGTTTCATCTCTCAGCGTGTCTGTCTCAGCTCTGTCACATATTATAGGAGGGGTCAGCCCTCGGGGCAGAGGGGACCGTCG